ACAGGAAGAACTGTATGAAAGGGTGGAAGCAGTAGGCAGGTTGAGAACCACTGCTCAGACTACTGTCATTTTCATTCACCTTCATTCAACATTTGCCTCACTTGACAAGCACGCGGCCTCAGTCATCGAAGGAGAAGTGGCCTGAAAGGTAAAGGGCCTTAGCAGCCAAGCCAGCAAAGAAATCCGAGTCCTTCAACCTCCAAAGTCCTGCTTAAACGGCCACAACTCTGTTCAACTGTTTGAATGCAGAACACATCCGTTTGTAGTACAAGTGTTTGCATCTCTAAATTATTCCTACTGTGCTACAAACAAGCTCATTCGGCATATTAATTGATCGGTCTGACTTCTCTTTTAAATGGCCATTTTCAATCAAGTACCTAGGCTTAATTTTACAATTAGAATGCTAGGGGATAATTTTGAAGGCCGCAAACCCTAAAATCAAATGGTTGAAATAATTAGTGTTTAAATCAGGAAACACAGGACTTACCTATACATGCTAAGATGATTAGTAAATAGCTACTTTTATCTAAACTATGCCATTCACTAAACTAAAAAAGAAAGGAAGATCATTAAAACCTCCGCCAGGAAAGCTGAAACATACATTGGAACCCCCCCCCCCCAATTCTTTGTTTCAATACTCAGTCACTATCACTAACTTTGGGATTGCTTGCGAAAGCCAGTACATCACAACAAACCCAATGCCCTAAACAATTTCTATTTAGAAGAGCCAATGAATTCAGGAAAAAAAAAAAAAAAGGAACGTATGACAAAGTAATCTTTTTTTCCCCTCGAAGCATACACTTACTTCTGCTTTTTTACGAGCTTCCATAGCTTTCATAAGCATCATATGTTGGCGCCTTCTCTCTCGTTCCTATCAGGCCAGATAAAATTAGGAAAGTAACTCAATGGCTAACAGTTTGATTTTTAAATGGGAAACAAAACAAAACAAAACTTGGTATAAAGCATGTTTAGCACTTATAGACAAGTCACAGTAAATACTAAATATAAGACAAGAATGGCCAGTCTGTGCATGTTTTAGTTCAGGTTTAGAAAGCAAATACAAGACAATCAAAAGCAAAAAGGTAAAGCAATGAACATGGAGACAGTGTAAACAGAAGCACACAAGACTGACTATGGTCAGTTGGGATGCTCCTTCAAAAGCTGGCAGAACAAAAAAAGCATAATGGTTGGCTGGAACAGGTCAGTTACCTTACATCTGCTATTAGGAAACCACAAATACTGACTAGAGCCAATTAGACGAGGGGTTGTGCTGGTCTTAAATTTTCAGATCAGACAAAAATGGATTTAGAATCACTTTGATGGCTTTAGAGTTGGTTAATTTTATTCCAAGTACCAAAATCATTTTGGTAAACCCAACAAGCCACCAAAAAATTAGAACTTTTTTTTAATTTGTTTTTTAAGTTTGGATACCAATTTAATTAAATGAATCTTGGTTCACACATAAATATCAATGAAGTGGGGCTTTTCCTATTTACTGATGTCTGCCACTTGATGCGCTATTTGAAGCCACAAAAGCGGCACCGTGGGCTAATTGTTCAGTGGAACCTAGAAGGCACACAGACAGTATGGATGTCAGGAAAGGGCTCGCTTAATTTCAATGTTTCATTTCGTTTTCAAGTAAAAGATGATGTACTTAAAAAATGCAATTGGTTTTTTAGATATATTTGGTTCCCCAAAGGGATGTTTCTTTTTTTAATTTGTCTATGACAGAATATAATTCATATTCTCTCATCAGCCTAACTCAAAATTCCCATTGTGGTCAATGGCAGTTTTGCACCTAGAATGATGGGAGAATGTGGCTCATAATTGCACCAGTTTTGATACTGATCCAACTTTCAATGTGACATCAGTAATGTAAACATTTAGAGAGTGGCCTTATGGAAGGCTTAGGTGATTCAGTTCACAATCTTAGCTATGCACCAGACTTTCTTTACGGACAGACAAGCAGATGTATGCAATGCACTGTGCTGTAAAGCCATGCAGCAGTATGTAATATGACAGCAGCCAGTGCTACACTTTATGCATTGCTATGACAACCATATCACAACCAAATCACAATGCGGTGTTAGATGTACAAAAATAAACATACCCATACCATATCTAGTCTATGCCTCTCCAACTCCTGGTAGAAAGAGTTGGCACAACATTATGAAACAGAAATCACAGAGTCATCAAACCCACTCATAACCCCCCGAAAGACACCAATACCAAAGCAAGGCAATAAACTGTAAGAGGAAGGGAAAACTTAAGCAGAAATTATATCAGAAAATTTTCCAGAAAATATTTTGAAGGTGTTTTCTTTCCCCCAGATAGCTTTAAGCAAAATTGTGAAATAGCCCAATAGCTGTAAACCTGTGCGTCTACAGACCTGGTGCTTCAGGAGGACTGCTTGTTGTCGTCTCATCTCCTTTTCCTTGAAAACAAGAAAGTTTTAGTCTGTAAGTTCTGGAGAAGATTTAGAACAGGCTCAAACTACTAAAAAATCCTGTTTTGAATTTGTTTAGTCTTCTACTAAAGGTCATTTTCTGAGATATAATAGACTTCTATTAGGGTCCATCATACAAAATTGCCAATATTGGGTCATTTGTTTTACTTATAAAATGACACTTTCACGAGTAAAATGAAAACACACAATCATAAGATTATGATGTCTGTGGCCCAGTAGCATCCCAGGGCCACATTCACCGAGGTGACTGGTTAGATGGTCGGAGCACATCAGCCATGGCTGGCACATGTGTTTCTTTGACCTTTTAATTTGGCTACATGGTGGCCACAAGTCTTAAACTTAAGCGATCAGAACTTTTTCCATTCTAAAGATCTACTCTGAAATATTCTCTGTAATTAACAGCAGGGATTTCATTTCTGAACACTGTGGATGAATCAGAGTAACCAGCGTCTCTGCGATCTTGCTATAAGCTCTGGGGGCATAGTGGGTTATGTGTTGGGCTGCTAACTTGAAGGTCAAGAGTTCAATCCCATCAGCCACTCTGCAAGATAAAGATCAAGCTTTCTGCTCCCCTAAAAATTTACCCACAAGGGTAGTTCTACCCTGTACTATGGTGTCTATATGAGTCAAAATCAGTTCAGTGTCAGTGGTGGTGAGATTATGCTATGATTCACTCCCGTTAATATTGAGGCTTAATGCAAGCAAGTCTATGCATGTCACCTATTTCCAAATTTTTATAAAGACAAAATCTGGATTAGATATTAGGAAAAGGCATGAATGGGAAAGAGAGAATATATGTAGAAAAGGAAAGAAACAGTTTGCTGGGTTTGTCAGGTGTCAGGGTGGTGGCTGTTTCCAAGGCCAGTAAGATAACTCAGGTATCAGTACTTCATGAACACAAGTGGAAGGTAAGGTGTGATGTCATAGAAGGAACATCTCTCTTGGTCTTCATGGCAGAAAACCAAAACCAACCCCCCCCCAAAAAAAAACCCAAAACCTTTTAGCTGTAAAAACTAACCATGGCTAATTTTATTATTGGGAAATAACAGTTGATAAAAGTTAGGTTCTTGTTTCTGTAGACATTTCACGAGAAAGTTATCATCTAAGGGGAGAATCAGATTTGGGACACAGTCTAAAACAGAAACATAAATAAGACACAAGATCATCTGGGAGTGATCATTTATATCAAGCGACATGGTTTACAGGTATTATGTCATAGTATGTACTTGTGATTAAGCATTTCTTATTTAAGAAAGCATCACATAAAACCTGCATCACAAAATTGAAAAAACAAAACAAAAAATCCAACAATACAGATATACAAATAAAAGCCTACACACATTGTCTCTCTACTAAACGTATTTTCAGATAGCCATTTGAAGAAAGCCATTTCTTTCATATAATCCATACTGGTATAACAATCATATAGTTTTTATTTTAAGAAATAAAAACTGGATTCTCATCTAAACTAACCTTTATTCGTTTCTCGGCCTCCAATAATTTGGCATTTGCCGCTTCTTCCTTCTTTTTCTTTTTGGCCTGTGCATGCAAAACAGGTCTCAGGGTCATGCGACAGCACCACCGCGATGCACAGGGTCTCAGACTTGAAACGAAGCACGTGCCTCACACGGTACAAGACAATATGCGACAGAACACATGTACGGAGACGGTTACGTATTTCCCCCCAGTGAGGGTTTCCCTGAACAGCCGAATCTCATTTTTATTTTATAGACCAGTATGAGCATACTGAAATGTCTTAAATGCCTAAGATTATATGACAGTTCTGTTTACCTTCTACAAATTCTTTTAAAATTCTTAAATCACAGAAAAGTAATTTAGGCATTTATTTTTATCTTTGAAAGTAAAGCAAGACTTCAATAAAACTCTAGAAGCCTAGGTGGATTTTAACTGATAAAAATAAAAATTAATTCACAAATGAATCATCAAGACACTAAAATATGCACCTTACTCAAAATTTCTCTTCTAAAACTTGAAAATTAGGGCAAAGAGATCCATTACCCGAATGATTTAAACAAGATATAGTATCTGAATTGTCCTATTTCTGTAGCTTGCAGTTTATTAAAGGTGTTGTTGCTTTTTTTAATGGAATGGAAACCTGTAATCTTTCATGAAGCATTTTGACTATCAAGACCATTATATCAAATTTGAGTCGCATCTTAAGGCCATTAAGTATCTAATAGTTTCATATTGGTTATTGTCAATTAACTTTAGGATGAAAATATTTTCAATTTGGGGTTTTCAAAAATTAATTTGAAGTAGGTTTTGTTTTCCTTTTTTATAAAGGACATATATATTTACAAAAGGGAAAGTACCATAACAGAAAATCTCGGGTATCCAGGGCCCTGGGGAGTGAACCGCTTTTGAAAGTAGAAGAAATCTCCTGAGTAGCTAAGCCATTATACTCAATTTAAACATTAAAAGTTTATTTTCATAATCTTGGATAAAAAAATGGAGACATATGTCTGCATAGATACACTACACGAAGCATAATTTGTTTTTTTCTCGATGATTTGGGGCAATTATTTTGATCATCAGTTATACAGCACAGTTCCATTGATTAATGCCTTTGGGCTATTATGATGTGGAAATTGCTTTGTTTTCAACGAAAAGATTGCAGACGGTTGCTAGGCTTTTGAGTTCCCAGATATGCTGGTTAAAGTTTTTCCTTGACTGGTTGAATTTGGGCTATTATTTTTTTGTTGCTGCTGTTAGCTCAGTTCTAATCAGCTGTGGGGTGGGAATTGCATTAGAAACCAGGTCTCTAAGTTGGTTAAGCTGTTTTTCTAAAATTAGTATTTTACTTTCACTTTTCTATTGCTTATTTTTGTATACTTTTATTTCTACCTTATAGTCATTATTTGTCTAGAAACCCTAGTAGTCTCTCTAAAAGTAAATGAGTTTAACTACACGAACTCTATGTCAACCAGATAAGTGGCTTAGAACTTTCCCTTTTCTTTTGTCTTATTTTCGGGGTTTTAACTGCTAGGGTTAGATACGCTTGCTAAATAAGGTTGACCCAGGTAAGGCCTTACTTGGTATGATAGATTATATTTAAAGAGAATTTCTTACAAGTTATTTTGGATGACTGAGAGGATATGTAGGCAAAATTTTCATTTTTCAGACTTAAAAAATATGACTCTACTACTTTTATTATCTTAAATTCAAGAATTCTACCTCTAGGATTTGTTGAGCTCGAAGTTCTTTTTCCATTCTGATTTGCTGTATTCTCTTAATTTTTTCCTGCAGGAAAAATTATGATTTAAGATGAAATAAAATAAGTATCTAGGTAAAAAATGTTTAAATGGAATAAAGCCATTTAAAAATGTAATTACAAAACTACCAAGGGCTGCCCGAGTCTAATAATTTAGTTTAACAACATATATATCTTCATGCCAAATAAATGGGTTTATAAAATTTCTCAACATTATTTGTAAAGTACATGCTAAATAAACAAATAAAAACTGGGTAAATCAAGCTGATGTAACTTACATAATGTGGAAATCTTTATAAAGCCTCAAATTACAAAACAAACAAACAAACAAACTGAAAATCACCACAATTTGAACTGAATATAGGACAGCACAACAGAGGATTAAGAAAATCTATGTCTGATATTGGGTTAGCTACAGTCATTGGATGATGTTCACCAAAGAGTAATTACTCGTCTATAAATTGGGGACAGATGGTTGACCTCTATTTTCATTGGTATTAAATTTGAAAACTTTTTAAAGGACAAAACACCACACAAGTACAATAGATTATTAACAAAAATTTCTATAATTTCTTATTTTGCATGCTGAATAACAGACTATGGCACCTCTTTTCAAACTGAGCAAGCCAACTTCAGAACAATCCGTAAGAGTACTTAGCACGAACTCATTTCAACTCAGCCTTGCAGAGGGCTGGTCACAGGGCACCACTTCATGTCCTGGCTACTGGCTGGGTTTTAGAATTTTGTGATTACCGAAATTTTGATAAAAGCCTTACCTTTGACTTAAAAATAGTATCTCATAGGCTATGAAGCACACGGTTAGTATTCCCACACTCACAAACCCCTCTGAGAGGCCTGAGCTGTCATGAGATGAGGAGGCTGCCGGCGCAGTATCACAAAAATAACCCAATGATCCCCAAACCCTCACTTTCCTACTTCCAAATCACACTGACTTCTCTTAGAATTTCCAGGGCCAACACATTTTATATTGCTGTATATTAGAATACCTGCTACAATTTCCAGGTGTTAGTTGTACCTTTTGAAACTGTAATGTGTTATCAGGTGGTGTTGCTGGTCCAGAAGATGAGAAGAGCTGAGATAGCCTTTTTTAAATCCAGTGCTGACGTTAAAATGGCATTAGCAAAGGAAGGTGTGAGTATATTTATTCTGTACTTTGGTTTTTCTGTACTTTGTTGGCCATAAGGGATGAATCAGATGGTTTTCTGAGGCTGGCTTTAAGATAAGTATCTTGATAAATCTCTAAAACCAGCTCATTTGCATTATCATTTTAGGGCCTTGAGATTGTTGTACTTTTTCAAGGAACAGCAAAGACTATGTGGATTTAGGATATGGCCACTTCTACATTTTAGGTCTCAAAACTAAATGTAAGGTACTGATGGGTTCTGCTGACTCATAGACTTTAGGTAAATCTGCTGCACAAGCCCTCTTCAGCATACTCAACAATACTTTGAGGACGAAGGTGAGCCTGACCCAAGCCATGGTATTCTCCCTTGCATCATATGTATGTGTAAGTTGGACACACTGAATAAGGAAGACTGAAGAAGAATCAATGCATGTGAACTGGGGTGCTGGCAAGAATATTAAATATATCATGGACTGCTAAAAGGCCAAACCGATCTGTCTTGGAAGAAGTACTGCCAGAGCGCTCCTTCCAGGCACGAATGCTGTTTCACATACTTTGGGCTTATTGTCAGGAGAGACCAGTCCCTGGAGAAGGACATCATATTTGGCAAAACACGGGGGCAACTAAAAAGGGGAAAGCCTTTGACGAGATGGATCGACACAGTGGCGCAACAATGGGCTCAGGCACAGGACCGACTGTGAGGCTGGTGGAAGACTGAGCGGTGTGTTGCTCGCTTGTACATGAAGTCGCTACGGGTCAGAACCTACTCGATGGCACCTCACAGCAGCAGCCCAAAGTAGGTGGGACCTGTGATCATCACAACAGACCCAACCCAATCTATTTATTTAGCAGCGATCGATATAGAACAAACGGATTTTTATTTCATACCCAGAAACAATGATTTGTTGTTCAAAGGTGTGTGTGTGTGTGTGTGTGTGTGTGTGTGTTTTAAAGATGGTAATTTTTTAAAAGGCCAGTAAGATAAAATTCTAACAAATGGAAGATGACAACTTCTTCACATTCCTTCCTGCTTTAATGGTGGGTAAGTAGACAGAGATGGGTTCACATGTTCGCTTCTTAAGTGATGTTTGATACCTTCTTTCTTAATATTTTACCTATAATAGCTTACAATTACTTAATTTATCTAAATTTAATTTTGAAACTACATAGGAGAGAAAGATTATAGATAAGAGTTGTAAAACACAGAACCCTGGGTTTGCTAAAATAATATTTGCTTCTTTATTTTTTCACAGTAGTAATTTTTAAATGACTCCAAAAGCCTTCAGAACCAGTGATCACTTTTTCTTGGTTTTACTAACTCGTGGCATAGGGGTTGACGCATTGGACAGCAGTCCTAACCCAGCAGGCACTCAACAGGAGGAAAATGTAGCTGCCAGCTCCTGCCAAGATTTACCGTCTTAAGGACTCACTGGAGCAGTTCTTCTCTGTCCTAGCGGGCATCTATGAGTCAAAACTGGCTCTATGGTATTAAGGTAGCAGAAGGACATTGGGCCTCCACTCAAGTACTCCCTCAACACAAGAATACTTTCTTCTAGTAAATTG